TGGCATCGGGCCTGGTCTCGCTTGGCGGGCACCTCGCAATGCATTGTTGGCGACCAGCGTGCTTGCCAGCTTGATGGTGTACGCAGCGGGGAGGGGTGCACGTGTCCCAACGTTGGCACTGGTCGCAGCAGCACCGAGTGTGCTTCGGGACGGCAATGGCAACTTCTGTGGAAACAACTCGGTGAAGCGGCTGACACCACGCCCCCAGCCCACTGGAGAGTTCCGAATGGGATTCAGCGGGGCCCAGCCGCAACCGTGGCAAGACAACCAGAGACTCTCCCCAATGTTTCCCACGGTCCGGGACATGGTGCTTGGACTGTTGCAGGACACAGTGCCAGATGGGTTTCTGGGAAGCTTCCCAACATCCCCATACAGGGAGTTTGAAAAAAATACAGATTTTAAACAAAAACCAAGGAATGTAAAATTATAGGTTGTCGCGCAGAGATCGCAGCCCCGAAGCGGAGCAGATAACAAAACTAGGTTATTCAAAAACAAGAACAAGGGCAGCGACGCTGCATGAAACAAAACAAAGTTTCGTCTGGGAGTTGTGCTGGGGGGAGATCTAGGCGAAGATCTGGGGGAAGATCTGGGCGCAGATCCGAGGGACACAATCTGGGGAAGATCTGGGGGGAGATCCGGGCGAACATATGAAGGAAGATCTGGGCGACGATCCAAGGGGGCATCAGGGTGAAGATCTGGAGGAAAAGCTGGCGAGAAATCCGAAGGTAGATCCGGGGAAGATCTGGGGAAGATCTGGGCGAAGATCCGGCGGGAGATCGGGGCGAATATCTGGAGGAAGATCTGATGGAAGATCTGGGGAGATTTGAAGGAAGATCCGGAGGAAGATCCGGGGGGGGGGCTCTGGGGGAAGATCTGGAGCATCTGGCGAGATATCTGAGGAATGCGTGGAGGAAGATCTGGGCGAAGATCTGGGGGAAGATCCGAGGAACATCTGGAGGACAATCCGAAGGGGGATCTCGGGGGATATCTCGGCGAAGATTTGGAGAAAGATCTGGGCGAAGATCTGAGAGGATATTGGCGAAGATCTGGAGGAAGATCTGGGGAAGATCTGGATGAAGATCTGGGCGAAGACCTGGTGGGAGATCTGGGGGGGATCTGGGGCAAGATCTGGGGGGAGATCGGGGGGAAGACCTGGGCGAAGATCTGGAGCGAGATCTGGGGCAGGATCTGAGGGAAAACTGAAGGGTCATCTGGGGGAAGATCTGGGAGAAGATCTGGAAGAAGATCTGGGAGGAGATCCGGGGGACAATCTGGGGGAGACAACCGAGGGGAGATCTGGGGAAAGATCTGGGGGAAGATCTGGGGGAAGATCTGGGGGGAGACCAGGGGAAAGATCCGGGGAATGATCCGAGGGGGAAGATCTGGGGAAAAATCTGGGGGGAGATCTGGGGGACGATCTGGGGGAATATCTGGGGGAATATCTGGGGGAATATCTGGGGGAATATCTGGGAGGAATATCTGGGGGAAGATCCGAGGGAAGATCTGGGGGAAGATCTGGAGGAAGCTCCGGGGGAAGATCTGGGGGAAGATCTGGGGGAAGATCTGGGGGAAGATCTGGGGGAAGATCGAGGGGGAGATCTGGGAGGGAGATCTGGAAAAAAATCAGAGGGACGATCTGGGGGAAGATCTGGGGGAAGATCTGGGCGAAGATCTGGGGGGAGATCTGGGGGGATATCAGGGGGAAGATCTGGGAGGAAAACCTGCGGGAAGATCTGGGGAAAGATCTGGGGGAAGATCTGCGGGAAGATCTGGGGGGAGATCAGGGGAAAGATCTGGGGATTGATCTGGGGTAAGATCTGGGGTGGGATCTGGGGGGAGATCTGGGCGAAGATCTGGGCGAAGACCTGGGGGAAGATCTGGGAGGAAGATCTGGCAGAAGATCTGGGGGAATATCTGGGGGAATATCTGGGGGAATATCTGGGGGAAGATCTGGGAGGAAGATCTGGGGGAAGATCTGGGGGAGAAAACTGAAGGGTCATCTGGGGGGAGATCTGGGGGAAGATCTGGGGGAATATCCGGGGGAAGATCTGGAGGAAGATCTGGGAAGGATCTGGGGGCATATCTGAATGAGAAAAATGGTATGCGATGAGTTGGGGGAAGATCTAGAGCGACCTCTGGGGGAAGATCTAGGGGGAGATCTGGGAGGAAGATCTGGGAGGAAGATCTGGAGAAAGATCTGGGGGAAAATCTGGAGGAAGCTCCGGGGGAAGATCCGGGGAATGATCTGGGGAAGATCTGGGGGAAGATCAGGGGGAGATCTGGGGGAAGATCTGGGGAAAAATCTGGGGGAAGATCTGGGGAGATCTGGGGAAGATCAAGGGGGATCTGGGGATCTGGGGAAGATCAGGGGGGATCTGGGGAAGATCTGGGGAAGATCTGGGGGGGGGATCTGGGGGGAAGATCTGGGGAAGATCTGGGCGAAGATCTGGGGGAAGATCTGGGGGAAGATATGGGGGAAGATCTGGGGCGGAGATCTGTGAGGAAGATCTGGGGGAAGATCAGGGGGAAGATCTGGGGAAGATCTGGGGGGATGATCTGGGAGGAAGATCAGGGGGAAGATCTGGGGGAAGATCTGGGGGAAAGATCTGGGCGGAAGATCTGGGCGAAGACCTGGGGGAAGATCTTGGAGGAACATCTGGGGGAAGATCTGGGGGAAGATCTGGGGGAAGATCTGGGGGAACATCTGGGGGGAGATCTGGAGGAAGCTCGGGTGGAAGATCTGGGAGGAAGATCTGGAGGAAGATCTGGGGGAAGATCTTGGGGAAGATCTGAGGGGAGATCTGGATCTGGGAGGAAGATCTGGCGGAGAATCTGGGGAAAGATCTGAGGGAAGATCTGGGGAAGATCTGGAGGAAGATCCGGGGGGAGATCTGGGGGAAGATCTGGGGAAAAATCTGGGGGAAGATCCGGGGGGAGATCTGGCAGAAGATCTGAGGGAAGATCTGGAGGAACTTCTGGGGGAAGATCTTGGGGAAGATCTGGAGGAAGATCTGGAGGAAGATCAGGGGGGAGATCTGGGGGAAGATCTGGAGAAAGATCTAAGGCAAGATCTGGCAGAAGATCTAGGGGAAGATCTGGGGGGAGATCTGGGCGAAGATCTCGGGAAATCTGGGGGGAGATCTGGTGGAAGATCTGGAAGAAAATCCGGAGGAACATCTGGTGAAACATCGCCGTGACCATTTTTAAGCTTACGTTTTCGAAAGTCACTCGCGCGATGACGGCAGAACATGAGACAAAACAAAGAAATTCAAACATATGATTTTAGAGTAGATCCGCGAGGCTGAGTGAAAACGAAAACGGAGGAGGCGCGCCGCGCGAAATGCGAAGACGCCGTGAACAGAAAACGGGCGCAAAACAACAAAACATGACCACCCTTCTCGCACACAAGCAAAACGCGAACAAAACGCACGGCTCGTGCCCGCGCGAGAACAAAACACCAAACACAGCATATGCCTCATTCCCCAAACGGGCAGGCCCGCGCCTACTGTGTAATCCGCGCAAAACGTGTTCCCGAACGCGCTTAGAACGAAAAACAGAAAGAAAACAACAACAGGAAACAACAAATACACAGTGTTTAGCTTGAGCCCTGTGAAGACGATCTGAGCAAGATCTGCGGAAGATCTGGAGGAGATGTGAGGAAGATCTGAGGGGAAGATCTAGGTGAGGATCAGCGGGGAGATCAAGGGGAACATCTGGGGGAAGATCTGGGTGAAGATCTGGAGGACAATTCGGAGGAATATCTGGGGGAATATCACCGTGGCCATTAAACAAACTAGGTTTTCGAGTGTCAGTCGCGCGATGACGACACGGCATGAAACAAAACAAATATTTTTTTTCATAGTAGGTCCACGAGGCTGAGCCCGGGCATGCCGACCTAATTTTTGTTGAACTCCCTGTACTTTGCCCAGTTGTTGCCGTGTCCTCGAGTGGCACACCATGGTTAATGCATCGACCTTTTGGTCCCGCCAACGGGCTAAAGCGCCCCAGCGATTTTTTCTCGCGGGCGCGAGTACTGCGCGCAAGGCGCTTGGGCAGAATTAGATGCCGCCTCGAAGCTCACTTGGGCCTGTTTTGGTGCACTTTTGTGCCCCAGTGGCGTGACCGTCTATTCTGGTGAAAGAGGGGCATACGTTGCCCACCCTATCTTTCCCTCTGGATTTGAAACTGTGTAGTCCGCTCTGGGCGGACATGCGGGCAATGATATACAATGCTGTGAGACTGGCGGAATGTGGAATTTGCATGCCCGAGCAGAGATCAGCTTAGGCACGTCAGCCTGCACCGCGGATAGAAGAAATCGCTGAGGCATCTGGCCACGCCCCCAACCCACTGGAGAGATCCGAGTGGGCTCAAACGGGCCCAAGGTGCAACGACGGCAAACAACTTTTTGCGTCGGCGGCTAGGCAGAGTAGCTGCGCTGGCGGAACAGCTAACTAAACGGGGGGAACCTTTGCAGCGAATTGTGCCACAATGTAAAAGAAGGAAAAAGGGGTGGGCGGGCGGCCGAAGCGGGGAGGAAAAAAGGCGAAGCCCGCTCAGCCTGGAGCGAGTGGCACGGCCGGCCCCGCTGGCAGGGACAGCGGCGGCTGCTGCGCTGGGGTTCCAGCGGCGGCGGGGCGCAACGGCGGCAGAAACACCCAGAGAGATTTACTCAGCTCTTTCCACGGTCTGGCTTGAGCCTGGAAGGATCTTCGAATTTGAGCTCTATGGCTGCGTTGCCGCGAGGCAGGACATGGCCTGTCCTCGGGTGGCATACCACGCTGGTGCACCAGGTCTCTAGTCCCACCAGTGTGGTAAAGGCGCCCCTAAGCCATATCACATCAAATTCCTCTTTCTCCTACTCCTCCTGCTCCTCGTCCTCCTTCTTCACTGCTTCATCCCCCCCGCCTCGTTATCTTTCTTCCTCTCTCCTCCTCCCCTCTCCCCGCTTGTCCTCTTCCCCCCTCCTTCGCAGACTGCTCCCTGTCCCCCTCGGCAAGCGCCTTCTGCGTCGCCACCGACAGGAGCAGGCGGCTTGTCTGCTCCGCCTGGGTGGCCGATGCGCGCCATGCCCGGTGGCTTGCGGAGGAATGGGAGGGGGAAAGAGACAGTCGTTGTACCATGCACCGTACCATGTCTGGACTCCCTTCAGGCGCCACGGTGCATAGTTTGTCGGCAATGAGGGGCCGAAGAACTGCACCGTACTGATCCTGCGTCGGGGATCCAAGACGCCTTGGTAGTCGCCAGCGCGGTACGGTGCACGCAAGTCGTCCGCGGACGTTGGCAGTCATATGCCTAAAGTCAGCAGCCAGTCTGGCCCAGAAAGGGTCCTGCAAGGGACGAAGCGTCGGCGGCCCGAAGCTGACAAACAAGTGCACCGGCGTGTTTCGTTCGCCCAGCTTGACCGTTCTAACTTGATCGACGGGTGGGCGCGCCGCCGCTCGCCGTGCTCTTATGTCATGGCGTGGCCGAGTGGGGAGGGCTGGTGCTCCTGTTCCGAAGTTCACTACCTGCGGCAGGAGGGGGGGAGAGGAGGAGGGGAGGCAGCATGGGGGGAGGAGGGGGGGGGATCGGAGTCCCAGTGGACCCCAGTGCCACGCAAGGAGGGAGTTGGGACAGAGAGGGATGTAGAGAGAGAGAGAGAGAGAGAGAAGTAGAGAGAGAGAGAGAGAGAGAAGAGAGATACCGCACGAGCGAGATATGGAGAGCGAACGAGAGAGAGAGAGGGAGACAGACCCGCCGACCCAAGAGGCGTGCGAGGAATCCCTCCCTCGGCAGAGATTGTCCACGTACATTACCCGCGCACGCCCGCGCCACTCTCCCTCGGCCCAGCACGGACCCTGACCCCTAATCGCGCCCCCACCTCACCCAACACCCGTACCCTCTGTTTTACGGACTCGCCACTCGACACTTCCTGGCCCCGAACGGGCCCTCACCCCCCACCTCGCCTCCACCTCGCTCGACACCCCTACCCTCTGGGACTTCTGTTTTACGGGCCCGCCATTCGACAATCAGCACGGACCCTGACCCCCCATCACGCCTCCACCTCGCCCGACAGTTTTACCATCTGTTTTACGGACCCGCCGCTCGACAGTTCCTGGCCCAGGACAGACTCTGACCCCCCACCACGCCTTCACCTCGCCCGACACCCCTACCTCTGGGACTTCTGCTTACGGACCCGCCACTCGATAATCCGCCGACCCTGTCGGCGTGTGCGAGGGGCTGTGCCGTTCGTCGCCGTCGTCGTCGTCGGGTGGATTTGTGTGGTTGTAACTAAGCGTGCTTAGTGATAATAGTGGTCAAGTAGTTTGTACGCACAAGCGACGCCTGGACTACGGGGCCAGTGGGCTCCACCGACAGATGCAATCAGCATGTCGTGGGTGCACGAAGTACAAGGCTTCTGTGCGCGCGCAAACGCTGACATCATACGATACTCATATGGTATGTTTGTTAGATGTTCTGCCGACTGGGACTATGCGGGTCGCACAAGGGCGCATGCCGAACACGCTCAACAGTCGTCGCGCCCAAATCTGTCAGGCCGTGCGAAGGCGGGCCACACGCGCGCGTCTCCGCGCGCGCAACTCGAACGCATTTGCCAAGTCACGTGTTTCAATCATGTGCTTTTATGTGTTCAACACATGTAGAAAACAACGTACATATTTACATACATGGTCGTTCTGGGATTATGCGCGCACGCACCATTCCCTGGTCCACAACAACACCATTTTTATCGCCATCGCCACCGTCATCATCGCCACCGTGATCACCATCATCTTCAGCACCATCACCACCGTCGTCGTCAGCATTCCCGCGATCGTGAACAGCATGGCCAGTAGCACCAACATTATCATTCCATGATCGTGACCATCATCATGTAATGATCATCACCATCATCACCCCCGCCATCGACCTACACCGTCACTATCACCAATCCCATCATCATCAACAACATCATCACCACCACCATCACTATCATGATTCCCAACGTCGCCAACACCATACCACCATCATCATCATCATCATCGCCGTCATCATCCCGACCATCATCACCATCATCCATGTCGCTATCACCGTCGAATCATTTGCCAGGCATAGCAAAACGAGTGCAACATAAGTGAACACAAATGCTCATATCTGGCCTAGGACTGAGTATGCCCAACTATTCGGGCACCCCGGGTCCAGTTCGCCCTCAGCGTTTCGGCGTGTGGTTGGCCATCCTCTTCAGGACCTGCCACAACCAACCGCACGGGGCAGGCCGACGCTGTCACAAACGACATCCCTGTTTCCTCTGGGACTCCTTCGTACGCACCAAAGTTGCCAGAATATGTCAAACAAAGCTATTGGAACCTGCTGTTTTGGCCTCCGAAGAAGGGGAGGAACAACTGCCCCCTCTTTCGTGACACCGTCGGCACCTGGCGGACTGGCCGCAGGTGCCCCCTTTTTCCTTGAATGTCTGACCCCCCGCTCCCGTGGCCAGAGCACTGACTGGAGCGCAGGACGGCGGAGCCGACTTCGCAGCAATCATGCCGGAATCTCTCTGACTAATGGGAAAAAGGCTGCGCCGCTGAAGACGAGCTCCTGGAGAGCTTCGGCTGATAACCAGTCATTTGCCAGGCATACCAAAATGAGTGCAACATAAGTCAACACAAGTGCTCACATCTGGTCTAGGACTGAGCATGCCCATCTATTCGGGCACCCCGGGCCCAGTTCGCCCTCAGCGTTTCGGCGTGTGGTTGGCCATCCTCTTCAGGACCTGCCGCAACCAACCACGCGGGGCAGGCCGACGCTGTCACGAGCGACATCCCTGTTTCCTCTGGGACTCCTTTGTACACACCAAAGTTGCCAGAATACGTCAAGCAAAATTATTGGAACCTGCTGTTTTGGCCTTCAAAGAAGGGGGGAACAACTCGTCGGCCTAGTCGCCAATACCATCACCACCATCATGTTTTCGGGGGGTCACAGTTGACCGAACCAGTTTTCGTAGCGGCTGCCATGGCAGCCACTCTGAACTACCGCAGAGGAAAGACAAGCACGCAACCACAAGTGCCAACTCCTGACGGCAGGAGAGGGCACCCTTGGTCATGCGTCTGTCAATCATGCATTAGTCTGACCCCGACTCTGGTCCGTGACGGCACGAACCCGAGGCGCCTCATCCTCCTCGCTGCGAAGCAAGTTGGACACAGTCCGCCAAACCTCACGGGGGTCAGATACGGCCGACGAGGTCACATGCGAGGACGCCATCGGCATTGCAACAAGGTCCCTGACCTCGAACAACTTCACTGGCGGCTGATTCTTCAGCCTCGAACAAATCATCAAACCAGTCCGCTCCAGGCGCGGGAAACTGCACGTCTGGAGCAACATCATTGCCTTCCCACCCCGTCGTCCCCGCGCCCGCCCGCCCACCCGACTCCTTAGCAGCGATCCTAGCCCTCAGCGGGGCCAATCACTCCAAATAAGTCGAGCTCGATGGGGGTGACTTGCACCCGCGAAGCGGTTGAGAAAGCGCGAATTTGCGGCCCTGAAGCTGGTCGCTCGGGGGCCGCGCACGACGCAGGATCGTTGCGCTGGGGGTGCAAGCCCCTCTTGAGCCTGCTCAGCACGTTGGCCCCGCCGCTATGTTCCTTCGGATCGCATCTGACAGATAAGTTGCGCACCTTCTCTTGGGAGTAGTTTCCGCATATCATGCAGAAGACGAGGGGCAACTTTTCATCGCCAACCTGAGTGCTGGCTAGCTTGTGGCCGTGATCATGGGGCCTCTAACAACAACCTCTGGAGACTGCGAGAGGGCCCATTAAAGCCCACCTCAGGCCTGCTCTGGAGGTCTCCTCCGAAGAAACTGAAACACTTGGAGCACCTGTGGCCCCACAGCCACGGCTCCCAGTCGTGCTAGCTCGAGGCGTGCGCCAAGACCTTGCGCTGGCGCTCGCGCCTCGGAGGGCGCTGGTGGTGCGCCCTCGGGAAACAAGGCAAAACCTTCGCCACGAGACGCGCCGCCGTCTCGAGGCTCTCTATCGAGCTATCCAGCTGCTGCCACTCGGCGGACGACGGTCTGGGATGCAGGTCGAGAGCTCCTTTGGCCTCGCGATCCGCTCGCCAGTTGGCCTGGCCGATCCACCTTTCAGGCAGGGGCAGCTGCTCGCTATCTTCTAACTTCCTATGGGCTGGTGTGTGCACAGCTGGGGCATATTCGTTTCTCTGCATGTGAAGCAAGGCCCCTCTTCTCCAACCCCCATATCGTTGCTTGGCCGACACCTGGCTGGATGGGTCCATCTTGCGCAGCTTGACCGCATTCATGCAATCGCTATACAGAGTCGGCCCATGCTGGGGAACATATATAGGGAGTAGCGCCAGTTGTAACTGTTCTGCCGCTTGACTTGTTTGCGGTAAGCTGGGCCACACAACTCCCCTTGCTACATACTGTTGCACGCCTTCAGCATCAAAAGAAAACCCACGCATACGTTGCACGGGAGAGCTCACGGATGTTGCGTCTGACGCACGAACCGCCCCCCCCCCCCCCCCCCGCCTGATAGAACCTAGACCCGTCGAAATCCTCCCGCGGAATCTTTTGACCACTCATGTCGAACAACTCTGGCTCATGCACCTCCGATAGAGCTGGCCACTCGGCCGCGGGGTGCTGGAACTTGAGGGCCTCGAGCAACTGCGCGTCTCCGTTCTGGGCGCGCTCGAGGAAGCTGGCGGAAACGTCCGCTGCCTGCCTCGCATCCAGCGCATCGGGGTGCTGGCAGCAGAAGAGTCGGTGTCCTACCGAGTCAGGCGCCTGGCAAAGGGGGGCAAGGCCTGGGGTGATGTGCCCCGACCGTTGGGCCCTGTCCTCAGTCCAGAGACCATCGCAGAAGCACGCCATCACCAAGTACTTACCCTGGGTATTAAGACCGATCCCTTTGACCCCAGCCTTGGTGATTCTCCTAGTGGGTTCCACGCAAACGCGGGTGCCAAGGGTCCAACCGAGCTTTTTGCCCAACACCCGTTCGTGTTGCCTCTGAACCCCCAGGCTATGCCAATGCCCCACCATGGGCGGGGTGGTGTA